ATACTACAGTTATACTAAGGAGCCCCCAAAATAGTTTTGGTAAATTATTGAGGCCCCCACATTAAGCCCGAAGCTTCAACCTCCAAGCGCCAAAGCCTTAAAAACCTTCAGAGAACCCCCAAGGGATGCCGTTGAATCTGACTACCCATAGGCTCCATAGGAATTCCTTTTTGGGATGACCTCATAGGATTCTAAATATGAACCCCGAAAAGGCCCCATAGTAATTAGTTCCTTTTTGGGATGACCTTATAGGATTCTAAATATGAACCCCAAAAAGGACCTTCTATGGGGCCTATGGGTAGACTCCATGCCAAGGAGTGGGCCTTTTCCGCGATGCCGTCGCGGAGCTCTTTGAACAAGAGCTTCTGAACGAGAACCGTGAGTGGGATGAAGTTTTCTTGGGCCGATGAGGGGCAAGTTTCTGACATCGGCAGTGGTCTTCTTTGGTTTCGTAGCATTGAGACTCTTCGGCGCTTTGGGGTTCAGGACTCCAGGGCTTTCTTGGTTTGGGTTCAGGATGGAGGGTCCTGCGGTTGAGAGCCTCTCAAGCTGACCCGCTTCAGCAAAACCTTATCATGAGTGAACACCCACGCATCCATGCAGGCCCACCCACACACACAGACACACGCACACACAGCATCACCTCAAACTCAGACACAGCATCACCTCAAACTTAGTCTCAGAGCACCAGATATGACAGGGGCTGACCTTTCCGAACAGCAAGCTTCTAAGCGGCTCGAGGCCAGAAAAGCCTTCCCAACATGATCAAATCGCCAAGCCAGCATCAAGCCTCGGCCCAAGACCCTACGCCCTCAACCGTAAGCCCAGACCCCTGAACCCTAAACCCTACACCCCGAACCCTAAACCCGAAAACCGCCTAAAACCCCTAGCCCTCAGCATGAAGACCTTCGATGGCAGGGCTGAGAGGGCTCGGGAGGCCGAAGCACACATGACATTGTTTTGCACTGTAGTTTATATGTTGTATATGTTATATGTGCATAGATATAATACATATATATATATATATATATATATATGTATATAGATAGATAGACAGATAGATGGATAGATAGATAGATAGATAGATAGAACACTGTTTAGTATATGTGTATATACAATATTAAATACATATACATATGTAAAAATAATATTACCTATAGTGTAACTATGCCTGACACATGCATATGCATGCGAAAGGGAGTTAGTCAACATAGACGCCTCCCCAAGGCTAGCAGAGCGATTCAGCTCGAAAGCTCGAAGTGGCCTGAAATCCATCTTCAACTACGTCGGAGGCGGTTTGCAGGGATTAGGGTTTAGGGTTTAGGGCTTAGGGTTTAGGGTTTCTCGCCACCTCAAAGAAACCCTAAATAGATCCCTCAAAGGAATCTTATAGAGCCCATAAAGGAGCTTGATAGAACCCCTTAGGTATGGGCTCAGAGTTTGGCTCAGGACTGCGAGGTTGCAGGGTCTTTGAGGTTCAGGGCGCAGTGCTTCGCGATGCCCTGCCTCTTGGGTTTGGCCGGTAGCGGTGCGCCAAACCCTCGTAGCACAGGGGTCGGAATTGATTAGAAATCGTATCCCCTTATATAAGTATGTAGATTACAATATGCCCCACAATCCCTACAAAAATCATTAAGGCCCCTACGCTAAACGAAAGGTGGCTGACGGCAGTTACAAAGGGTTTACGGTGGTTCAGGAGCCATCATACCCTCGGCACGTTTGCGGCATTGCAGACAAGAAGACCCGAAATGAGCTTTTTCCGCTGCTTGTCTAAGCGCAAGCTACTTCTGCTGCCTGGGAAGGTGCTTACATCTTCATCCGACGCGAGTACGCTGGCAGGATTAAGGCCTGCAGGAAGGGGGGTGGGGGATTCATTGCCTAATATAGAAGCCGAAATGCTTGCCAATATCACTGATAGGGTTCCTTATCATCATGGTACTATAAAAGGAGCCCAAAACCCTATTCTAGTTGTTAAAGCCCCTACGCTAACTAACTTTAGGGCTTTGGAGGTTTCCGGCGTAGGCTCTAGGATTTCTAGACGGGGGTGGTGATGTTCCAAGGAGTCGGAGTGAGTTGCAGCTTGGGATGTAGCCGCTTTCGGCTTAGCTATTGTAGCGCTTCGAGGTCTGAAAGGTGCCGGGAGTTTGAAACCCCACAATATGAGCCCGTAATCTAGGGGCCTGAATACTTAGAAGAGGGTTTCGGGGCCCATTTTACTATAAATAATAAGGAACTCCCAAGATTGTATAGATGCCGCCCGACCCCGTGACCCTGAACAGCTGCATTTGGAATTCCGATGCCCGAAAGGGTGTCAGCCACGAAGCATGGTGGGACTTGCACCAGAGTACCAGACACAGTCCCACTGTTTGGGCCACCATGTTATTCCCGAAGCCCAGCAAAGGTTCGACAGATCTGTCCACCTCCCTTAAATGACTAAGGCATTTAGACTTGGAGCCACGCCAACTGCCGAACTCCCAAACCCCAAGGCCCAAGACCCACAAACCCTACACCCGCAAACCCTTCCAATATTCCCGAATTTGGGAATTTACCTTTGAATCATAAGAGGGGTCCTATTTTAATTTGGGGAACATACTTAACTTATTGTGGGAATCCATATGGGTAGTTCTCTAAACTAGGTTCCCGTTTTAGGTACCCAATACAGTACGGCACCCTTATAAAACGGACCCTAAAAGGGCCCCTAATTTAGAAAACTACCCATATTCCATCCCCCTAAACCCCAAACCCTAAACCCTAAACCCTAAACCCTAAACCCTAACACGATTTAAGGCTCATTCCTTACATTAAGCCATACCGGGAAGTCTGGGAACCTGAACTCCAAACCCCGCTCGCGCCCTGAACCCTCAGGTCGGATCGAAGAAGCCCTGAAGAACCCCCTGAGGGTGTACTTGGAGGATCATGGGACTTAGTAAGTAGAGTTATAAGTCCCTTAAGTGGGGTTATAAGTATAGTTACCCTAATTATAACCCTACTTACTAAGTCCCATGATCCTTTAAGTAGGGCAGTGTAGGGCTTAGGGTTTAGAATAATTTCTAGGGCTTGCGGGTATTATTATCGGGTTTTAGGGTACTTTAGGGTTTAGGGCTTAGGGCCTAAGTTTAGGAAATGGGGGGGTAAGGTGTGATGCTCACTTTCCGGCCTGTCAGATCATCGGCAAAAGCTGGCGAACTGCGAACAACAAGGTCGAGGCGTGAAGAGAGAGGTTTAGGGGTGGAGCCTAGGGTCTTCATGACAGTGTGTTAGGCTTCGGGTTACGGGTGTACCATCGGATTTGGGGTTGGGATGGTGTCTTGGTGTTTTGGGGTCTACAGTAGGGAAGTGGGAACAGGGTGTATATCCTCTACATGCGTGTACTTGTCGGGGATCAAAAGTGGCATATTCTTATTAGCTTAGATAGCCAATGGGAGAACTTTAAACTTTTTGGCCTTATGTAATAGGTCTATCCTAAAAAGTTTGAACTTTTTTGGACCTGGCCGTTGAAGAAGAGAGTTAGGGATCCACCATGCGACCCACGCAGCGATCGATTCGGACAGGTTCGCGCGCAGGGTCGGCGATGTCACGGCTTCCGGTTTCAGGGCTTGGGTTTGAGTGGCAGGAGATAGGTGGTTTTGTCGGGATAGGATTCTCAAGTTAGTCTTCCGGGGCGAAGGGGCGACATTCGGCCGCCTTGTCGTCATTTAGCTCACTGTCTCTTGGTTTTCTTATACTGAGGTATATCAACACCAGGCCTTAATTCATCCAGCAACGAGAAGGATGGCGTCTCGCAGAGTGTTGGGGATAAGTCTGTGTCCATGCCTGGCTCAAGCTGGGTGAGTGAACTCTGAACCCGCAACGCTCCCAAACCCTACAGGCCCTAACGTGGCTTTGTGTGTCGAGACTTTTGTTGGAGGGGTCCAAGACCCTGCCGTCATCAGAGCTGATTTCTAAGTTGGTTTCGGAGAGTTCCGCATGGCCTGTGGTTGAATGTTTCAGGCGAAAAGTTGCCTTGAGATCGGCGTCTCGGTGTCAGTGCACCATGTGAGTCTGCATCTCCAGGCCCTAAAATCCTAAACCCTCACACCCCACTACGCATCAGAATGCTAAACCCCAAACCCTACATAATGAGGGACTGAGATATTGTGGATCATGCAGGGCAGCGACGATGGCAGCGAAGAAGATGGCCAGACAGGCACGAGCTGACTTTCTAGTCCCCTCTTAGCTGCATGTTGCACAACCTCATATAGGGGCCTCACTCATCCCCCAAACCTGATTCTAATTATTAAGGCCCCTATATCATATACTCTAAATTGCCCAACATTTGTTCTTGTTCGTGAGGGCCTCCTATGGTCTCGCTTGCGGAAAGGTTCAGGGCACTTGGCAGGCAGGCTTAGACGCATCTTGCTGGGGCCCAGAGGCAAACTCACGGTTCCTACGCTTTACGTACTAGCTCATGGTGCTTCATGTATGGCTTCTGAATCATCCAACTCTTCAACAACACTTCCCGACTCTCAGAGTACCGCAGACCCTACATGGCAAAGTCCCTGTAGATCCGAAGCCAACCCTTGCCAAAAATCTAGTAACCTGAACAACGTTCAAACCGAGTTCAACCGAAAGCCGACTACGCCCTGAGCCCTAAACCTCTATCTCTACAGTAACCTCACCCTTTGGGGCATCAATGAAACCAGTTAAGCGATGTTAAGAAAGCCTGGTAACAAACCCGAAGAACTGCCAATGAGATATCCATGAAACCCTTAAATGAATACATAGATAGTAGAAGCAAGAAGCATCTCGAGAGAGACCCTTATGAAACCCATTTAGCCCTGGAAATCAAACCTATATATAGTCGAAATTGGGGTTTCCATAATTGGAGTGACTATTAAATTGCGGCTTGGCCAGATATCCCCCATGTAGTACTTGGGACCCTTTGAATACACGAAGAGAAAGAAGCACCGCTGGGCAAGGGGATGCCACTGCCGGGCTTGGCTTCTCTTTCGAGGAGGCACCGGAGAAGGCCATGCAATCAAAATCTCATTTTGGGTGGCTTTGCGTCTGTTTCTGTGTGCGTGTGTGTTTGTAGTTGTTTTGTTTTGATGCGGTGAGGGGGGGGGGGGGGGGGGGGGNNGAAGGCGCGGTGGTAGGGAACTTCTTTCCTGGTGGTCTAGGACCTTCAGGGCTTCGGCTTGCCATCGACTGGGGGGCCCGCCATGGGGCTCCTTGTAAGTTTGAGAGTGCGGCTCAATGGCTTGAGGCTTCCAGGCCAAGGCTGTCGCAGGAAGCAGCTCTTATGGGTCTGAAGAACAAGTGTTGGTAGTCCTCTTCTTTGGCACGCAAAAGGCTAGTATAGTAGAACGCTTTCCGAAAATCGAGTCCAACTATTCTTCAGCCTTCTATAACTTAGTCTATAACAGATAATCTTGGCGGTCTTCCGACAGTATTCGGCAATTGGTTTTTGCTAAGTAAGGCTTCACCGTGTTAAATACATTGGTTCTTACGGCCTCGAGGACACTTGCTTCGATGATTTGGTTGGTGTGCTACAAAAGTCTCCAGGCTCCTGGATCAGCCTGGGTGCAATCGGGGTTCTGATTCACTCGAGGAGCGTAGATCTTGGACTACAGAGCATCCATGTGATCTTTCCACCCCCTCTCTCAGAAGTGCAAGGCCACGAGAATGCCTTTGCACCCATCGAGAGCTTGGAGTTGCATACGTGCTACCACACCTCAAACTCCAACTCCGGCGAAAGCCTTCACCCTAAACCCTAAACCCTAAACCCTAAACCCTTCATCCCCATTATAGATCTTCAGCCCCCTTCATCCCCATGCCCCAGGCTATAGATCTTCAGCCCAAAGACCCTTCAGGAACCCTAAAC